CTTGTCTGTTGAGTTGAACAAAAGACACGGCCAGCAAAATAACTTATTCAATTTTGAGGAGCCAGCCAGCCATTTGTACTTGTCGTAATTTGACGTCTGAAAACTTCGAATAAAGACTTTACCACTTCGCTTGGATGTTGTATGTAGTCCTTGCAACTCAGGAGTGGGACGGCCACCTTCGACGATCTCTCGTTTCTCGGAAAAAGGTCTCAATCCAAATGAGCGGGATAACAGTGATTCCACAATGCATTCAGTCATGTTGTACAGGTGTCGTGAAAATACCGAATTGTAGAAGTAGAACATAAAAGGATGAAAATTCCTATGCTATATATTTTATAGGAACATCAATCTTATTTATACCTTACATCAGTTACATGATATCTTGTAGTGACGTACATAACGTGCGTACATTACTCATCTAGATTCATGTATTAGCAATAGAAGAAATAGCCAATCCTACACTTACTCAAACGCGCTACATAAAGTGGTACTAAAACGAAAATTTCGCCTCTCGTTTTTTTTTCATAGATTAATAGTGTATGTAAAAAAATCTCTTCTGGCGAAATTTTAGCGCAATGTATTTCATGCTGCTCGAGTTACGTAGCGATAAAACTTGAACTTTAAGAGCCGCCATTAAAATGCGCCATATTTGAATTTTCAAGAAGGAAGGTGCTTGTGACGTCATAGTCTTAACTCACGGCTGTTTACAATATAACACTATATACAAATAGAGATTTAAAAGGTTGTATAACTCAATTTTTTTAACATGCCTTCAACACGCTGTGTCGTGCAAGATTGCAGTAACAAGTCTGATAGAATTACAGGCACTTCATTACATAAAAGCCAAAACGACGAGTCTTTGAGAAGAATTTGAGTTAAATTTGTTCAGACGAAGCGCGCAAACTTTAATCCGAGTTCGCGCGAAATTCGATTTATGATTTGTTCGAATCACTTCTCGGATGATTGTTTTGAGCGTTTATTCCATTTGGGTGGTATGACTAGACGGCTCAAACCTGGTGCCGTACCTATTATTTGGAAGAAATCACAAACACCAACAACGTCAAGAGAGCGGCGTCAGGTTAGCACAAGTTGCAATTATTATATACTTACACATATTGCAGATGATAAATTTTCACAAATTGAGAGAACCAATAATACATCCAGGCAAACTTTCAATATATAATATACATTTATACTAAGGTTTTAAAGGAAATACAAAATGAAGTGTCTGTATCATGCGATGACCTTTGGTCTTTAAACCTAACGAAGCTGCTTGAAGAACAAATTCGTTCAGGCAAACTTCGTTAAAGCCATGATGATCCAAAATGCATTTCCTTTCATCGATTTCGAACTGATATATTTTACCACGGCATTGCTCTATTTCCATGCAGCACCGGCACTCTTGAGGGTTGACAACAAGATCCAACATACAATGACCACATTCACACCTTTAATATTGTCAAATTGTATGTTTCCATAAAGTTATCAATGACATCTTACCATGAAGTAACATCAACACGGGCATCAAAACGAACTTGCAGCATGTCTTCAACCCGCCGTTCTTCTGCGACTGTAGCTTCGTACTCAGCAATTTCATCGGGCGAAGCAAGCGGTTCAATATTATCGACAAATGGCAAAATTTCCGAATTAGATTCGTTCAAATTTGCCGTCACAAATTCCGATGAAGAAATCGATGCGTTTGTCTCGATCGAAGACTCAGAGAGCGAGCTAGATCTCGATGAATTTGACATTTTTTTGCTTTATTTATGTATTACTTTGTATACTTTCCAATGTGCGCTTCTCTCCGTGTTAAGACTATGACGTCACAAACTTTGCTTATTGCAAATATTCAAAATGGCCGATTTTAATGGCGGACATGAAAATTAGACATTTCAAATGCTCATAGCTCCCTCGTTATATTATTATTTTTGCTTACATTTTACGAAAGCAATAATTGATATGTTTTTAAACTATTGAATGCTAAAATCGATGATTTTTTAACGTTAAGTTTTCGTCATAGACCCACTTTAAAGCTGCTCGAATAATTGTCAACAAAGTGCGCGAAATTAAATCGCGCGAATTTAAACCTGAGCGAAAATGAGTACGACTCGAATTTTAATACAAGTAAGGTATCTATAAGTGTATAGACAACTGTTAAATGTTATCTATTTGTTAAATAAAAATAACCAAATTATCTAACCATACATTTTTATTAAAAAGTGAATCATCAACATGAAATTTGTTCAGAGGTACAATACATAATAATAAGTTTGACAAAGCATCTTACAAAAGTAGTCTAATCTAGAGGATGCCCTGTTTAAACGACAATTCATTTATGAAGATTACAAGTAGAATCTTAGAAAGGAATAAACAAATATTCATGATCAATTAGTATAGAAGCGCTCTTTTTAAATACAAGTCATTTGTGTTATAAAAAGCAATTATACATCGTTTCAGATTATTGCAAAACATAGATAATATTTTACATTCTTTAATAGCAGGAGGTAAGACATTCCAAGAAATAGTACCGATAAATTTAAAAGATCTTTTGCAAAATTGGTCCAAATTTATTTTTGGTAAATATAGATAATTTCTTAAAGATTGCCTGGTAGAATAAGTATACTTCTTCTGTAGAAGACTGTAGCAGGTGGAAACAAGCAATCATCCTTACGACCATCAACGTCTATGTGCAATTTTCTCAAATGGTTTTTGAATTTACTATTAAAGTTTAAGTTGATGTACTTATTCATTAACATTAAGTTTTAAAAATTGAATTCTGCACTTTAAACTGTCAACTATAGCTAAAGTTCCTGTATTGGAATGCATAGTTATATGATACACTCCATCACTTATTTCTTCAAATTTAGCGCATACTTCACCACTCTTTAAATCTACAGCAAACAGAGAAAGATGAGACTTTCCAATGCAATAAGATTTGTGTACGACTAGGTTGGAGTCCGAAAAATATCCACTGTTATCATGCAAAATGGCATTCACATCACCATTCTCGTGAACATTAATCACATAAATGTCCTTAATTTTCGTACCATTGCAAGATGCTATTACTCCTTGTTTACTATCACTTATAGAGCAGTCTAACTTTAGATCATTTACAGCTTCCTGTTGTGGAACAAATTTTTTAATGACAGCTGTTAGGGATATTTCTGCAGTATGCCAAGGTTTCAAGTAAAGTTTATTGTTGTTATTTCTCCATTTCCATAATGTGTATTCTGTTTTGTTTACAGTTAAAATAACAGAATTATCAGGGGATACAGCTGCTGCTTTCAATTTTGAACTTTGGACAGGAAGTCTTTCGTTGTATTGTATCTCACCCTTGGTAATTCTAACAACTTGAAAAAACTTTTCTTCGTCAATACAAACTAAGACATCCCCAAATGTTAAGATTTCTTCAGGTTTAAATCCAATGTTAACATGCTTTGCTTGAGTAGAATCTACAAAATTTTTAGAAGAAGTTGATATCTTCATAAGATGATCAGAACCATCCCATATCCACAGTAAACCATCCGACCACCAACATCCTAATGCATTCTTCAGTTGTATTGGTACAGTTTGAATAATAGTGCAACGTTCAATGCTCCAAATATGAATGTTGACGTGGTCACCAACAGCGAAAGCAGCAAAAAAAGATCCATCCGGTGAAAAACAACAACATTCAATTTTAAATTTCTCAAAGATAAATGAAGGACTCCAAAGATGATCCGTTTTGAAAACTTTAAGCTTTAATAAATACGGCACAACGTAAAATTCCTTAAACGAGATTGGATGGACTTTGTTAAGAGACCTATTAACACATGGACACCTAACATTTGGTAAACAAAACACGTTTTCTCCTTGATCGTCGTATTTTGTCAACTGAGTGATTTCAGAAAGCTTTCCATTCTGGTTTGTATGATAAAAAATACAATCACGATAATGGTGTGTTATATTGGAATATGCAAATAGTGAATCTTCATCAGAAAAAATAGTGATTGCTTTCGGAAATTGAAAAACATACGAAGTCTTGTCGAATTTTGCACCAAACAACTCTGAATATTTATCGGTGCCTTGTAGTTTTTGGTAATCAACAACGCAGCGTCGATCGATTCTTTGCAAAGTTAATGAATTCCATGCAGTGAATACATTTTTAGAAGAAATATCGCATCTTGCTGTAATAAACAAACCAGAATCTGAGAAAGAGCAACGATTAACGACATCATCTGACTGTAAACATAATAACAAACGTCTATTGTTAACGTCCCACAACTTTACTTCAGTAGATCCATCACTAGTTACCAGTCTATTTCCGGTTGGTGAAAAGGAGCAACAACAAATGTTTCCACCTACAAAAACTGATTTGCTTGATGTTGAATAGTCATAGATGTTACACAGGGACATAAATTCGTCTACATTATCCCACTTATCCAACCTTGAATCATCGAGTGCAGTGCCTAGAGTGCATCTTTCTGTAAATTCTGGAAGCTCAAAAATAGATATTTGACCATTTTCATATCCTACAGCAAGAAGTTCTTCATTGGACGACACACAAAGAGATGTAACGTTAGCACGCAAGGAGACAGTCAAATGATGATGGTTTGTTAAATATGTTGAGTCTAAATCCTCAAACCAAACAAGCTTTCCTTGTTTCAATAAATCCCTTGCCAATAATCTTTTTTCGTTACTGCCATGAATTCTGTTTGCAATAATTTGTAAATAAACTAAGCTACCACTAAACCTATATGAGTCGTATATCCTCAACAGTGGCCAATGAAATAGTAGTTCCTCAAGTACATCTTTTTTCAAGAAAGTACGTCGTTGCTTAATGATTATAAACAATTCACACCTAACGGTTAAATCCAAGTGAATGTCTTTCACACCCATTAACCTCGCACAAACCACTTTGACATCTACTGCCCAGCTAAAGTCAACATTTTCGCCACATTCTATCATATGGTGGACTCCATTCTTCAAAGCATATTGAATCATAGCAGTGTTTATCTGATCTTCAAAAATGTTCATCGACTTAATTTGTTCAAACACTTTCTCACAAGCATGCCATAAGAACTTATGACCATTTCTTGGATCAACTGTAAACTCATGCTCTTCATAACCATCTGATTTCAACCAATCAATGAGAGACTTGTGATACACGGTCAAGTAATCATCATAAATTGGAAAAAATTGAGATAGCACTTCCTGTATTTTAATACGATCTTTAAACTTCATGTCATCAGATAAACCTAAACATTGAAAAAGAAAAGACAAAAGCAAAATACTTCGATAAGTCACCAACACTTCAAGACATTCCGTAAAGTTTTCATCAGAAATAACGGTTTTGTGTGTTGATAAAACTATTTCTTTCAATAATTTATTTAATCTCTTGAATTGTTCTGTGTAAATTTTACTCAACCCAGTAGGAAACAATTGTTGAATGTTTTTGTAAGAGAGCTCGATATTTTCTTTTTTTAAACTCTCTTGTGCGTGGTAAGCGTACAGAAACGAACCCTCGCATTTTTCAACTAAATCCCATAGCACGTAGCGATATCCCTGCAAACGATTATTCAACTTATGTCTCAAATAGTTGTGCAGGTCTTTTTCGTTGTTTTTATCACGAGGACGAGTTGTAATTTCCATAGGATTCATGTCTTTCAATTCCTTTTGAACAGGAAGTTCTGGACGACTGGTGATGAAGATTTTAATCCATTTAGGCAGTCGGTGAAACTCTTCTGCAATCAATTTCAACAATTCACTTTTGCCATCAACTTGGCTTTCATCTAAGGCATCAATAACCAAAAGCATTGGTTCATGATCTTCCAATGAATGCAATGGATTATGTAATAAAACACGGAATGCATCGGGGACTGATTCGTAGGAATGTTTTCTCTGTAATTCTTCATTCAGTTTACTTTTAAAATCTGATATTGTATCACACATGCTACTGGCCAATGATTCTATCAACATTAGAGGATTTCTCTCATCTGTCCGATTATATCTGCAGAAGTGAGAAGCAGCAAGTTTCTTGTTTTCAGAATATCGTCGACAAAACTCAGCAGCAAACACACTTTTACCAACGCCAGGACCGGCAATCAAAATCATGACATTAGAAGCATCTTCACTTCTATCGTTAAACCAAGTGTCGAGTTTTTCAAATAACCATTGTCTAGTGCCTTGTAAGTATTTCTTGTTAAGATCTTTTATAAGAGGGTTGAAATTACACTTTCCAAGCTTTTCGACATCTGAATATTTCTTGTTCTGTAACATTTTTTTTACTCCTTCTACATCAGCTTTTGTTTTCTTTACATCCTCATTTAAGTTTGTAACTTTTATTGCCATCTCTTGTTTGATCCCTACAACATTTCTTTTTATTACTTTCACATCTTCTTTGATTTTTTCAGTGACATCGAGAAATTGCTCTTCTTTTTTATACCATTCTTTTAACATTTCAATATAATTTGTCTCATCGGTAGTGAGGGGAGCTTTCTTTAATTCATCTATTTCGGTTTGTTGAATACCCAAGCCAACCAATGCTTTTGAAATTTCCTGCCAAAAATGCTCAAACTCACTGTCATTTACACTAGTTGTAGTTATGTGACCGTACACTTTGTTTCGATAAAACTTTATTCTGGCAATATTTGCTGAGACCGAGGTATCTGAAGAGGAAGGAAGTTTATCCCATCCTGTAGTTGGCGCTTTTAGACCACATATATTTCGCAATAAGACAGTCAACAATGTGATGTCAAATTTTTCAATGTCAGGATCATCAATTGATGGATAAAGAAGATCCCATTGCTCATTCTTGATTACTTTAAATTTCAAAGATGTTAGTTTCTTCTTTGTAGAGGGATCTTTAAGTTTACCAGCTAAACTTGATGGCTTTAATAAAGATTGCAATGTATGCGTCAAGGCTTGTTTTCCTTTATTTATTAAAAGTTTACTTAAACGAGATCCGTTTGCCTCAAACTTCAGATTTTGTGGTGGTGAAGCCATTTTTCAAGCTAGAAATGAAGAACGAGTTCGTGCAAAAAGCATTAATTTGCAATCCACAAAATGAGCACAAAATAAAATAGATTGATAAACAAGTAGTATTTTAAACAAGACCCAGTAGTTGATAGTACATCATGGAATTCAGCATCCAGTAATATAAACGACTTGACACAATGGATTTAACAAAAAGCAGCATTCTAGGTACGCATATATTTACATAAATTTTTTTGCTCTAGCTACATAATGTTCATATGTTGAATGTGACAATGTGAGCAAAATAAGCTGTTCGTCTAAATCGAACTGATTTTTTAATTTCATGCAGCAAATGTTTAAAAATTTATCAAATGACATCAAACGAAGCGATTGACACAAGTTGCTGTCCAAAGATAAAAACCACACTTTTATTCGAAACAAATAAATATCTTATGCGTAAGAAATCCAAGCGTTTTTCTTTCTAACTTAATTCCTCTTTGATGATAAAATCCTGTGATTCTTGAAATCAGTGAATTAGTCGACTTCCATGTCAGGCATTTTCAAGCGAATAAAAGGATCATCAAAAAATTCATAAATTATGTTGAAAATTTTGTGGCATTGAAAAACAGCAAAAGAAAATAAAAACGGACAGTTTTTTGTGACAAAGCGACCTGGCTTAAAAATTTTTTTATCAATTTAAATAAATTTAATTGTGCATTATCATGAGAGTACTGCGTGTGCAATTGCATTTTAAATCTATATTTACTTATTACTGTGGTAGTGTATAATTGATGCAAATCGTTCGCGGTTGATATAAATATTATCATATAGTCGTTTTGATAGGTAAACAGATCATTTGTGTTAACAAGATGATACGCAATTTACTAAACCAGACATACATATATATTATCGTATTGTCCAGTAAAACATAGCGCCATTTAGCTTATAGTTTCGTTTAACGCTCATTTTTATTTTCTCGGAAGTTAGAATCATCTTGTAATGTATTAAATACGGTATAATATATGCTTTGTGTATCTGTGTATCTACTGAAAATGTGAATGAACAGTCAATGAATCCAAGTAGACGAGTATTCTGCCCTTTAGTCAAACCATACAATATAGCGAGTGGCCAAACAATATTGTTTAAAATCAATATTTTATACAATTTTTACTCACCAGCGATGACCAAAACGACTATTTCTTTATTGCAACACATATGTCTTGGTTCAACAACGTAGAGTCACAGTTTTATCTTGAAATATTTCTTCAATTTTGTCTATAATCCTATTGTAATGTACACATCATTCAAATGCAAGGGATGGGCTCATCACGAGATCATTCTGATTTACTTCCGCGCTTGTAACTGGATACAGCTGAAAGGTAGAAAATAATGATGTTCATTGTCCATATATGGTTCTCACCAGATTTATATTTTTTACAGAGATTTTATCAATAAATTACCGGAGAAGAGATCAGTTGCACGAAAGCCGAATAACGCTATCCGCTGAACTAAGTAGCAATGTATTTGAACGCTTCAAAAATCTCTTGAAAGGAAAAAATTCAACGGTTCGAACAATACAATAAATGAAATACAATATTGGTTCTAGAATTACAAAGTTTCAACATCATAAACAAAATATAACCATGCACATTCACAAATTTAAAAAACTACTATCCAATGGATAACGCTATCCTCGCTTCGTGCAACAGGCTCTAGTATAAATTTGAAAAAATTTTCAATAACAGGAGGCCACAAATCATCCAAATGGAAATGACCAAACTGTTTTTCCGAAATTCCAAGGTCAAAGATCCGGAGATGTAATCATTATCTTTACTAGGCACCTGTCAGCATAACAAACCTTCCGTTTAATATGTCTTATTGTCGTGTAGTGAAGAATCTACGAAAACTTGGCAAAACTTACAGCTTGATTGCATAAATCTCCTTGAAAATTGTGGTTATATCTCATATGATTTTGATAAATGGCTGGATCCTCTTTTTTGTGATGATTTTGTAAGTAAATTACAAATAACTTCATAAAATAGAAAGTTTGACAATTGGCAATGAAAATGAAATGAAGTCGAAATATTGCGGTAAATTATAGTCTTGTTTTTATAAAAGATCATATCTTAATCGGAAAGATTCATTAGTTTGAAATAGAAATAATTAATAAAGGCAATGGTGTAGTTTCTAGAGTAATTACAGATAAATATGCAAGAGAGAGACTTTTTTAAATGCTCTCTTTAAAGACCGTTTTCATTGCTTTACAGTGCAATTACACATTTTCACATGTTAAATTGGTAATGGCCAATAGAACGCAGAGCAATCTACCAATCACGTTTAAGAATATCTTAAAATATATTATTTTAAATGTAAGATATGCCACGCATTATAACTGTAAAACGACTTAAATAATGTGATTAAACATTTTGAAAAAACGAAGATTTTATTATAAAATTTGGAAAATAACGAGGAATGTTTATGCTGCAAAGAGATTTCCAATATTTGTGACAAAAATGTAGAGGCAGTAGAAACGAATTAGACCACCGAAGTCCCTTTGTGCATTACGCAACATCCTGGTTTCGAGCCTCTTTGTCTTAACAGGTGGGTTTTACAAACAGCTTGGTACCAGTACAAGCAGCAATATGAGGTAGCATATGATGGGCCCGAAGACAAACTGTACCGCCATATTGCATATAGACTGTTGACAAGATGGTGCTGGGGTATCTTGGGTAGAGAAGTAAGAATCGTCTTGCCATCATGTGCAGTTACTTGCATTAGAGAAACATTTCCTCCACCTGGTCCTGCAGAGGAATTTCAATTTGAAGGCTTTCACTATACTGGTTTTGCTATGTTAATATTTAAGAATGAATGTACAAAAGTTGTCTTCACTGATGCAACATCATATTATATCGGCATGGCAAAACCTATAGCCATAGCTAACTTCACCACTGACTGATGTTCCTTTACAAGTACCTCTTTCCTGGGTGGACATGATTTAGAAATGTTCTTTGGAAGATTCTCTCCATGATGTACAAGTTCAATCTCCTCAGTTTTGCATGCATTGACAACCTCGGCAAGTAGTATATCAACGTACTGGTATTCTTTCTTTTCTTTCATTGCTTTTACAACCCATTGCTTCTTTGTTTTAGCAAAAATCATTTTGTAACGGTCTTGCCCTTTGTTTGTCCTTGACTTAATGACTGCTTTATCACAGTTAATATTGTTGTTGTGATCTAATGCTGCTAACTAAGTACGGGCTACCATTCCAGGAAATGAAAAATGCTCTCGCTTTGGGCAGTATTTCAGTAAAAGGGAATGGTAAACCTCCAACTCTCCTGTGTGACAAAACTCAGATAGCTTCCACAGGTCTTTTAGAAGCCTCTTGTCACAAATCACCTTCTCTGCAGCAATATATGCTTGTGAAGTAGGAGATAGCCACTTCTTCTGCTTGTTTGTCTTTCTGTTAATTGTTGGTAGCAACATTGATGAAAATATGTGTTCCCTCTCCAGAAATGCTTGTTGTTTGTTAAGGATAGACTTCCATTTTCCCACCAATTCTTCTGCATTCTTGTTACAACTTGCAGAGCACCACCAAAGATGATTAGAAATGGACTTAATCCAATGGGTCAAGTCATCATTTCCCTTAATGTTAGCCTTTGTTAGTTTTTTTTTGTGACAGATTTAGACAAATGCCACACATCATATTGATGATCAATATGAGGGTGTTTGTTTTTCATAGCAAATTTTTGTCTCAAATGTGACTTAAAAAAGGGAAATTATGTACAAACAATTAGGAAACTATACGTTCCATACTTTACGTCAAGGAAACTACACCTAAATTCTATACAAGAAATGCTAATTTTACAATGGTTTTATGTAGGATTATTTCTAACCATAATGAATCTAAATTACACAACCATGTTTTATTATTATTCAATGTTATTCATGGCAATAGACTGGTTTCACATCAGTAGAAACTGTTGTTAAGGTCGAATTCGGAGGACAAGCAAACGAAGCAAACGGCATTACAGCACAGTTTCCCTACAAATAGACCTTCCTATTTTAAAAAAATAATATTAATCGATATTTAAATTCTATATGCAGTGCGGAAACTGTGCGATAATGGCCTTTATGGATGTGAAACCGTTTTATTAAAACAGAATACAAATAACCAGCTCAATACTTGCATGTAAGCTATAAAAGTTGCTTGTGTATATACCTATGAATAAAAAATTCTGAAGTTTCGAAAAGAAACATTTTGTGATTAAGAGAAGTATTTTGACGCAAGTTTGTTATGGCTGTGCAATGACTTTACATAGATCTTTAAAGCAGCAATTGATGATATGACGTCAAATACAAGCCGCTGACATGTTTCTGCTCCCACGCACCGGATGCCCTAGCTGCCGCATTTCAACTCTTTTTTTGTGAAAATATTGAATCAAACAACAAAAAAATTGCCGCATATTTATTTTCATGGGAATGACAAAGTTTTAAGACCAGCATTATGTGAGGGTGGAGTTCCCCTTTAAATAGCGAACGAAGATGAAGAGTGAGTCAGGGCCTCCTTCCACAAACAGTATTATAAATTATCAATGACGTCTACGTAGAAAATTCTACTTATATAATTAAGTATACATCACGGACTAAAAACAATTGTTATAGAAATAAAAATACATAAATAAGAACCTCATGCAGAGTACATAATAACATTGAAATTAGTCAAATTCTAAAGGACTACTGCTAAATCTTGTAAAGTTTCACAAGTTTTAACTCAGGAATAGAGAATCGCCTATCTAAGACAGAATTTGAATGCTAATGATTAAGACACGATTTTCGAAACTGTGAATGGATTTTTTCCCTTAATTAATCAAAAATTCCATACATGTATATTTTTGCATAAGTCAGTTCATATTATAAAAAACCTTTGTTATTTAATAAACCATTGTAAATTATAAATACATGGCAAACATCAACTGCACGCAATTATAATTACTTATGATCAATAAAAACACTGTAGATACAACAGTAAAGGTTGTAATAAAAGTAAACCTTAAAAATGTTAAACTAACATGTAACATTTTACAAAAATAGATTTGGTTGCGTTCTTTCTCTGTGTAAATAAATTCTTGCTGTGTTCAAAATTTGCTTATTTTACAAATGTTCTCACTTTTAACATGAATTGTTTGCTCAATACAATCAACAAGATTTTGTTAGACACACCGCAATTAGTCAAAAGTGGCGTCGGCAAAAAAAGAGGTGATGCATGATAGGACATACTATCCTTTCTACATAAATTTTCACAGATTCCCATTTTTTCCGTAGACAAGTATGCTATTTCACCTCTCCCATACCTTTGAACGTGTTTTGCTTTCCTTTGCCATGCAGCTTATTGCCAATAGTTAGAAATTTGGTATATTAATTTAAATATGATTTCTCTTCAATGTTTAGTCATGCATTATCGAGATGCTTCAGTGGCAAATTTATTGTGTAAAGTTAGTAATATAGTTTCAGAAACTCGCTTTACTTTCGACAAATTACTTTCGTATTAGAAATAAGACTTCATATATGACGACCGTGTAGACAAAATTATGATTGCTTTAGTTCTTTACACGTCACATATCTTACAAAGATGAGAGATTTAATATAAAGAACACGACTACATACATATCAGTTTGACAATGGTGATCATAATTCATACCTTATTGTAACATCAATCTTTTATCCATGTAAGTTTTGTCACATAAACACATTCAAATAGCGAACGAAGATGAAGAGTGAGTCAGGACCTCCTTCAACAAACAGTTTTATAAATTATCAATGACGACTATGTAGAACATTATAATTATATAACTAAATATACATCACTGACATAATGAAATTGAAATTAGTCAAACTCTAAAGGACTACTGCTAAATCTTATAAAGTTTCACAAGTTTTAACTCAGGAATAGAGACTCGCCTATCTAAGACAGGATTTGAATGCCAATGATTAAGACACGATTTTCGAAACTGTGAATGAATTTTTTCCTTCATTAATCAAAAATTCCATACATGTATATTCTTGCATAAGTCAGTTCTTATTATAAAAAACCTTTGTTATTGAATAAACCATTGTAAATTATAAATACATGACAAACATCAACTGCACGCAATTATAATTACTTATGATCAATAAAGACACTGTAGATACAACAGTAAAGGTTGCAATGAAAGTAAACCTTAAAACTGTTAAACAAACATGATCAAAAGTATAATTTTAAAAGCACACTGTGTTGCATGAATCAACATTTCACAAAATAGATTAGGTTGCGTTCTTCCTCTGTGTATGCAGCCTGCCAGGGGGTGAAGTGCGCCAGAACCGGTAGTCTCTATACTACTCAGTATGACATGGCATCTGTGAATGTCAAGTGCATCACTGACTCAGAATTATTTATTATCAAACCTTTTCTTCGTGTAAGAGCCGCAATTTTTATAGTGGATAATTTGAAACAAAAATTGAAACCTACTTTCCAGTCGTGGTATTAAATATAGCTTTAAAAGTCACGTATAGAATCATTCAAACGCTTTTCATTTGGAATGGAAATAAAAATTGAATTGTTTATAGTCATACTTCATACTACGCAATGCTTCGGTATCAAATTTGTTAAGTTAGAAATATAAATACAAAATCTCGGTTAACTTACGTAAAATTACCTTTGTTTTAGAAATAAGACTTCATATACGACGATCGTGTGGACGAAATTATGCTTGCTTTAGTTCTTTACATGTTACGTACCTAACAAAAGATGAGAAATTTAATATAAAACGCGACCACATACATATCAGTTAAAAAATGGTGATCATATTTAATTGGTACATTATTGAAACATCAACTTTTTATCCGTATGAGTTTTGTTACATAAATACATTTAAATAACGAAAGAAGATGAAGAGTGAGTCAGGATTTCCTTCAACAAACAATATTATTCTATAACTAAGTATACATCACTGACTAAAAACAATTGTTATAGAAATAGAAATACATAAATAAGAACCTCATGCAGAGTACATAATAAAATTGTGATATATCGAATTCCAAAGAAATGCTGTTAAACGTTTTAAATTTTAACAAGTTTTAACTCAGGAATAGAGAATCATCTATCAAAGACAGGATTTGAGCGTCAATGATTAAGACACGATTTTTGAAACTGTGAATGGATTTTCCCTTCATTAATCAAAAATTCCATACTTGTATATTCTTGTATAAGTCAGTTCTTCTTATAAAAAACCTTTGTTATTGAATAAACCATTGTAAATCATGAATACATTTCAAACATCAACTGCAAGAAATTGTAATTATTTATATGTTTAATAAAAACACTGTAGATACAACAGTAAAGGATGCAATGAAAGTTAACCTTAAAACTGTTATACAAATATGATCAAATGTATAATTTTAAAAGCACACTGTGTTTCATGAATCAACATTTCACAAAAATAGATTCGGTCGCGTTCTTCCTATGTATATATACATTCTTCCTGCGTCTCATTTGCGTATTTTGTTAATTTTCTTAATTTCAAAATAAATGGTTTGCTCAATACAGTTAACAACATCTTGTTAGACACACAGCGATTAGTCAAAAGTGGCGTCAGCAAAAAAGGGAGGTGATGCATGATTGGACATGTGCCCTCCCTACATAAAGTTTTACAGATCCACCTTTTTCCATATACATGTATGGTCTTGCATAAGTCAAAGTATAACATTAAAATAAGTCAAATTCCAAAGGACTACTGTTAAATAATAAAAAGTTTAACAAGTTTCAACTCAGGAATAAAGGGATCACCTTTCTAAAATAGGATTCAAATCTGAATGATTAAGACACAATTTTTTAAAACTTTGAATGGAATTTTTCACTTCATTAACCAAAAATTCCATACATGTATATTATTGCAAAAGTCAGTTTATATTATAAAAAGACCTTTGTTATTGAATTACCCATTGTAAATTATGAATACATTTTAATTATCAACTGCACGCAATTGTAAATAGTTTTCATCAATAAAAAACACTATACATATAACAGTAAAGGATGCAATAAAAGTAAACCTTAACACTGTTAAACGAACATATGAATAAAAGTATAATTTTAAAATCTCACTGTTTGGCATGAATCAATATTTCACAAAAATAGATTCGGTCGCGCTCTTCCTCTGTGTGTAAATACATTCTTGCTGTGTTTAACACTTGCTTATTTTTCAAATTGTCTTACTTTTAAAAGAAATGGTTTGTTGTATACAACTATCAACATTTTGCTAGACACACAGAGATTAGGCGAAAGTGGCGTCAGCAAAGAAGGGACGTGATGCATAATAGGATATGTGCTCCCTCCCCTACATAAATTCTTACAGGATCCCCTTTTTCCATGGAAAAGTATAGTTTATAAAGAAAAATTCAGTGTCCTACATGTAGAAAATGTTCTCATGTTATTCTTTCTCCCCATACGTTTGAACAAGCTGTACTGTCCTTTACCCTGCAGCTTATTGTCAATAGTTAGAAAGTTGGTGTATCAACTTAAAGATGATTTCTCTTGAATGTTTAGTCATACTTTATCGAGATGCTGCTTTAGCTAATTTGTTATGTCGGTAATGTAGTTCTAAAATATCGCTTAATTTTTCTAAACTTACCTTCTTTTTACATAAACACATTTAAATAGGGAACGAAGATGAAGAGTGAGTCAGGACCTCCTTCCACAAACAGAACTATAAATTATCAACTACATCTATGTAGAACATTCTAGTTATATAACTAAGTATACATCACTGACTAAAAACAATTGTTATAGAAAGAAAAATATAAATAAGAACCTCATGCAGAGTACATAATAACATTGAGATTACTCAAATTCCAAAGGATTTTTAATAAATCTTATAAAGTTTCGTAAATTATAACACTGGTTTAGAGAATCACCTATTTAAGACAGGATTTGAATATCAATGATTAAGACACGATTTTCGAAACTGTGAATGGATTTTTCCCCTTTATTAATCAAAAATTCCATAAATGTATATTTTTGCATAAGTCAGTTCTTATTATAAAAAACCTTTGTTATTGAATAAACCATTGTAAATTATGAAAACATATCAAACATCAACTGCACGCAATTATAATTACTTATGATCAATAAAAACACTGTAGATACAACAGTAAAGGATGCAATGCAAGTAAACCTTAAAACTGTTAAACTAACATGTAACATTTCACAAAAATAGATTTGGCTGCGTTCTTTCTCTGTGTAAATAAATTCTTGCTGTGTTCAACATTTGCTTATTTTACAAATTTTCTTACTTTTAAAATGAATAATTTGCTCAATACAATTAACAACATTTTGCTAGACACACAGCGATTAGTCAAATGTGGCGTCAGCAAAAAGGGGAGGTGATGCATGATTGGACATGCTATCCTTTCTACATAAATTGTCACAGATTCCCATTTTTTCCGTCGACAAGTATGCTATTTCACCTCTCCCATACCTTTGAACGTGTTTTGATTTCCTTTGCCATGCAGCTTATTGTCAATAGTTAGAAAGTTGGTACATCAACTTAAATATGATTTCTCTCGAATGTTTAGTCATGCATTATCGAGATGCTTCAGTGGCAAATTTTTTATGTAAGGTTAGTAATATAGTTTCAGAAACTCGCTTTACTTTCGACAAATTACCTTCGTTTTAGAAATAAGACTTCATATATGACGACCGTGTAGACAAAATTATGTTTGCTTTATTTCTTTACATGTCACATAACTTACCAAGATGAGAGATTTAATATAAAGAATGCAACCACATACATATCAGATCAAAAATGGTTATGATAGCTCGTACCTTATTTAAACATCAATCTTTTATCCTTGTGAGTTTTGTCACATAAACGCATTTGAATAGCGAACGAAGATGAAGAGTGAGTCAGGACCTTCTTCAACAAACAGTATTATAAATTATCAATGACGTCTATGTAGAACATTCCAGTTTTATAACTAAGTATACATCACTGACTAAAAACAATTGTTATAGAAATAAAAATACATATGTAAGAACCTTTTGTAGAGTACATAATGACATTGAAATTAGTCAAATTCTAAAGGAGTACTGCTAAATCTCATAAAGTTTCACATATTTTAACTCAGAAGTAGAGAATCACCTATCTAAGACAGGATTTGAATGCCAATGATTAAGACACGATTTTCGAAACTGTGAATGGATTTTTCCCTTTTCTAATCAAAAATTCCATAAATGTATATTCTTGCATAAGTCAGTTCTTATTATAAAAAATCTTTGTTATTGAATAAACCATTGTAAATTATGAACACATATCAAACATCAACTGCACGCAAGTGTAATTACTTATGATCAATAAAAACACTGTAGATACAACAGTAAAGGTTTTAATGAAAGTAAGCCTTAAAACTGTCAAACAAACATAGATTCGGTTGCGTTCTTTCTCTGTGTAAATAAATTTTAAATGTGTTTAACATTTGTTTATTTTAGAAATGTTCTTATTTTTAAAATAAATGGTTTGCTGAATACAATTAACAACATTTTGTTAGACACACAGCGATTTGTGAAAAGTGGCGTCGGCAAAAAAAGGAGGTGATGTATGATTGGACATATTATCCTTTCTACATAAATGTTCACAGATTCCCATTTTTTCCGTCGACAAGTATGCTATTTCACCTCTCCCATACCTTTGAACGTGTTTTGCTTTCCTTTGTCAAGCAACTTATTGTCAATAGTTAGAAAGTTGGTATATGAATTTAGATATGATTTCTCATGCATGTTTAGTCATACTTTTGTCGCGATGCTGCTTTAGCTAATTTGTTATGTCGGTAGTGTGGTTCTAAAATATAGCTTAATTTTTCTAAAATTACTTCCATTTTAGAAGTAAGACGACCGTGTGAACAAAATTATGCTTGCTTTAGTTCTTTACATGTCACATCCTCAACAAACGTTTGAAAGATTCAATATAAATAACGCGACCACATACATATCAGTTAAAAAATGGTGATGAAAGTTCATGCCTTATTGTAACATCAATCTTTTATCCATATGAGTTTTGTTACATAAACACATTTAAATAACGAACGAAGATAAAAGAGTGAGTCAGGATCTCCTTCAACAAACAGTATTATGAAACATTAATGACATCTATGTCACAGTATAGGGAATATACAGTAGGTCCACTTCGTGTGCAACTGGCTGCTGTATATTTAATTTGATTACCGACTGCCGTTAGACATTTTATCATTCCCATTCGTCAAAAAAAGCAATTGACTGGCTGCCACTATGGTAATCACATGCGTAAAAACATATTTGTGGCAGGAAAATTTCAATAAAGTGGCTCTACTGTATGTTCTTCTATAGTGTGTCTATGTAGAAAATGTCAGTTATATAACTAAGTATAAATCATTGACTATTTTGCGTTATATAAATCTTTCGTATGAGCTCCGAACGTGAGTTCAATGTACTAGAACGCTATTAAATTTTGTGATTATTTTATTCACTAGCGAAGAAGTTATTTACAACAGTCGTGAGTATTCCATATGTTAGAATTTATTTACAGGCTTTTTATATATTTGGCTAAACAATGTGCAGTTATTACAAGGCGGATAATGTACTTGAAATTTGAGTAGTTTTACGTAATTATAAAGTTAAGTGCGTAAGTTTAAGTAGCGCGTTTGAGTAAGTGTAGGATTGGCTATTTCCTCTTTTGCTAATACATAAATCTAGATGAATAATATACGCACGTTATGTACGTCACTACAGGAGCCCCCGGCTAGTGTCAAAATTAATGAAATTAATGAGAAACGATAGAAATATAGCGTTGAGGAAAACGGACACAACGACCAGAGCGTGTTTGTTTTATTTGTGGTGCTGTAGTTTGACAGTTCTCTTTGTCCTTTTTGGCAGCTTCATGCGTATGGGTGTGTACAGGGGCACTGGGCGTAGGAGGAGCGAGATGTGCAGGCTTGAGACGATGTCGCCGCGTCTATTGTCTGGCGTTGTAGTTTTGACCGTAGCGATGTATGGAAAGTACAAGGTTGAACACATTTTCGGGCAGTGGCGCCAAATTGGGCGTGATACCAGCAATAACCATTATAAGATGGTCTGTGATTGGGATCATTCGGTTGCCGATTACGAGAGCGAGGCGGACGGTCATTGACATCGGACGATGAAGGGAAACGAAGATTGAGAGCCTGTACTGACGCAGCAAGATCCGAAACGGTTTGCGAAGTTGATGAAGCTCCCCAGATTTAGCAGATGTGTCAACAGTAGGGTCATTGGGAGTAAGTGTAGGATTGGCTATTGCCTCTATTGCTAATACATAAATCTAAATGAATAATATACGCACGTTATGTACGTCACTACAGGTTGTTCCAGAAACCAACATTCCATTAAATGAAATAGATCTTGATGAGCTGCAAAGAACCATTAATCCTTTAAGTCCTTCCAATCATAATGGTGCTGACATATACATTGAGATGCTTCAGTTTGTAAATACCAGACTGCACCAGGAAGACGAGTGACATTGTGAACTCACGAAGCAAGAAAAGCTACTTGATCTATTGTTTGTTGGTGTCAATTCAGATAATACAAAAGAAGATATGTATGGCAAGGCTGGCTATAAATTTTTCATTATGTTGATTATTCAAACATTTTAGCAGAAAACATTTTTTAGCACATAAATGCTGATACACTGCCAGAACAAAATTTAATGAAACATTAACATATTCACTTTAAGTCTTTAACTATAAAAATGATATCCAAAACAAAGAATAAAAATATTTCAATTTTGTGCATCATCCATATTAGCTGTAACAAGCGATGTTATTGCTGAAAGAGATGTATAAACTGTTCCAAGATCAAATATTGGTAAATCCTCTTGAAAAAAATTGCAAAGCTCTATCCAGTTTAATTTTCAGTTCATCGAAGTTTTCATAACATGGAAGAACTAACAAATGAAAACAAGTTCTACTTTCTGGGGGCAGATTACAATCTTTCGTTCTGTCAACTTTGAGATGCAGGATTGCACCATTTGCAGGCAGTAAATTACACTCAGTCCAAAAAGACAACAGATCTTTAAGATTTGCCCCTAAGAAAGGACAGGGATTAAAGTATTAATATAACTAGTACCTCAAACTGTCAAACATTTAAGTTTTTTTGGAGAAAGCAAAGGTCCAATTTAAAAGCAAGAAAATATTACTGACATTGATATTGTTCAAACAGAAAAAGTTACTGCTGCTCCAACATATAATATATAATCAGTTGTGGTGCAAATATTAAAAAGCAAACCATATTCACACAAAAAACATACATACACTTACAACCTTCCCTGCATCTTTCTACCAAAACACTTACCACTAGTTGTCCCATCAATTAGATCAATGTATTGTTTCAAAAACAACATCAGTTGATTACAATGAAGGCCTTCTTCAATTTCAATAATTCTTTTAAGGCGCCTTTATGAATAAGAGAAGCAGTTTATTGTGGAAAAGTTGTGGTTGAACAACATCTTTGTGTTTTTTCAGGAAATCAATCAGTCCAAACTCATTCATTCCATCAGCTAGATCTTGCAACTTTGATTTTCTACAAGTAATGACAACATGTAACATGATTTGCTGGGCAATAACATGACGATTTGCAACAGAGAATGATGTATCTAAAATTGAAGCTTCAGCTCTGTACTGAGTTAAAACATCTTTCAATGCAGTTCCAGGAGCTTCATCTTTGCCAAGGCTGTTCAACTATGTCATAAAACACATGATTAGCTCAAACAAAATACAGAAAAGCAATGTTCAGATGCAATAAAACTTTTCAAACCTCATTCAATGCAATCCTCAGGTGAATGTCCGGTATATCCACAACTTCTATTAAAAGAATCTCATCTTTGTCACATACCAAATAATCAACAACTACTTTAGAAATTCCAAATAGTGGTGATCCAGCATGTAGAAAAGAATGTGAAATCATTCTTCCAATGCACTTATAGAAGCCTGTACTTCTCAAAAACGAGTTAGCTACAGGAACTTTAAGGTCATTTTCTCATTCAAAAACATCTTGTATATTACATATTCTGTGCTTCAGCTAAGATCTTTGTTATGCCACCAAGGAGAACTCTGGTATAACATAATTACGACAAAACAATTCATCTCAGTATTACAAACAACGACTGTAATTACAACTGACCTGTAATTCAGCCATAGTATCTTCATCTTTTTGCTTCCTGGTGCTTGGGAAAACGACGACATTGTCGATCATTTGGATAAGTTCCAATTGAACGACAGACTTAATGATCAATGAATTGAACAGGATCCTCTCCGTCTGCACAACTAAAATAATGAGATGATTTTACGACGTTAAAGTACATACATGAAAAAATTAAAAAATGTCACTCGGGTGTTGGTTTAACATTTCCGTATTCACGCGCAGACGATTTTTTCATTTGCCGGTAAAAATCGAACCTTGAATATGCCAAACAAAGGGATAATTTATCATATTAGAGGATTTTCAAACGCAAAGATCAATTATACGTTTTGCTACGCCTTTCCAATAAACCAAAGTAAATTAAACATGTAAATGGCAGCAGGCTGTGACAACAAATTATTATTCTCAATTGATTTCTAACACATAGTTACCTGGTTCGTGTTCTTCGACAGGTTCAAATCGTAAACTAGGCGTACTATGTAAACTAATGCTGTCTTGTTCTTTGGTTTCTTCAACTGTTTCTGAGGAATTTCCTCCTTCGTTTCATTCAAACTTTTTGACGATTGCTGACCATCTTGTTCGTCCTCGTCTAAAAAGTAATACGAAAAATATTTCAATTGTTACTCAAAGAATGTTGGTCCATACGAGTTAAAGATTCACACGAGCTATATTGCAATATGCGAACTTTTGCTTCATATGAGCTTTTGGTTCAAATGAGCTTTTTTAATATGCGAGCTTTAGCTTACCATGAAATATTTTCCAATCTTATAATCATGGAGACAATTGAAGCAAAAATTTTCCTTTAAAAGAATTCACAAAGTTTTTATTTACTTTTTATTTACCTATTTGGGCACGATATCATCCTCCAGGTCGACAGGTGACATTATCTACAATATACGTCAATTTTAAGGATAATAAATACATAAAACAAACAGACTAGTTATGAAAGTTTGTCTATAATTTTAGAGTGTCCGGCTATAAAACTTCATAAAAAATACTAAGGGGCGGATTACATCAGCCTGGGTAGCCGGGATTCAGCGAAGCGTTATATCATTTTGGCAAATGGAAACGATTCAATACTTATCATCAGATAAATCTTCTCAAGCAATTTCAAAATTTTCTGATTTAATAACTACGCAAAACATTTAAAATTAAAACAACCAATTTGCCATAATTTGAGAATTACAACCGGAATGACGTGTGGCGCTTCGCAAACAATTGTATACATGCAAACCTACCGATAGCATCACCATCCAGTTTCACTGATCCCGTGAAAACTCTAAACGTAATAAAACACAATGAAGAAGTTGAGATGAAGATATTCAGCTGAGAGAACATAACGTATGGACAGTGCACGAGTTCTTCAAATTTTATTTTCATGTTTATGTTCAAGGTTCTCTGGTTCACTTGAGCCTGAAGATGACTACCGCTAAGGATGTCAAAACGTTAGTCAACAATAACAATAACAGTCATTCTCAGGACTCTGCTAACATGGACAATGAACATGTCTACATAGAGAGTCATCCATCGACATTTCTTGCTGTTACAAGCCCACTCTAGCTTAAAGACAATTTTAGAGATTCCTGGGAAGGGGGACGCAGGAGTGAAGCCAGAACGATGAATGGGAGGGGTGAATATTCATATATTTAGTTTTACTTGACTGATTTGGTTTAAAAGCTATTTTAATTTGAAAAGAAATTAGTTGGTCACAGCGGAATACATGACCATATATATAAATATTCACCTCTCCCCCTGCATGAACGTTCTAGCTTCGCCCCTGGGGTGAGAGATAGGTCACAAAACACAATCCACATAGCTATCATTAAAGTAAACGTTACCTGTCAACTGCAACGACAACACTTTGTGCAGCGGTCTCCCCAATGGCTTCCTGTGAGGCAGCCGCTTTTTTCGAGTCAGCGGCAACAGGCATCCGACCTTCATACAAATACAAGCAAAGAAAAGCACCCAACGTTAGTATTTGACACTTTTCCATGAGAGACACAACAATGTTATAAGCAACCTGAGGTTATATCATAAGATGTCTTGTTGTTTGCGGTGAATGCTGTGGGTGAATTAGTAACACCGCTGGACAAACATTACCCTCCAGACTCCACCTCCCCGTACCTTAAACATTGTCTTCACGTGACCAATCTATGTCGCCGTGACAAAATCCGTCTGAATAAGACTCACGTCTTCCATTTGTGTTTTGGCGTTTTCCACCATCTGCTCCATTTCCATAGAATACAACATACGACGATGTTTCTCACTTTGTAAATCTGTAAAGTGGAAGCACAATAAAAAATCTCTTTACTTTCATGAAAATGCATTGGAGCTCTCTTAAGACCAACACCGAACATCAAAATATCCATTATAAGCCCCTTTCCTACACCCATCTCAAGACCAACACCTCGATCTCAGAGCTAGGACTCTAAACTTCGCAGTCAAGACCTTTACCTAGCATCTGTACAACTTTTTCAGTTAAGCCTTGATTCTCGTATTAATATTCCAATACATACATGTAGCATCGTATCTACTGTTTACTTTTGGTGTATGTTTCATCTTGATTTCATTCTGTGAAATATCATCATAAATTGCTTCAAGATATTCAGATGGAAGATCTTTACTGTCATTTATACCACGATTCATTTGAATGTACTGCTCTTTCGTTATCTTCCGTTTAACCTGAAAGAAAATTTCACGTGATTACGATGTCGCATCTAAAAGCTAATTTTCACGCGATTCCAATGAAGGCTTCATATGAACGCCATGAAAATCTCGCGTGACCACAATGGAGTCACGTGATCTTGGACATGAAGTTGCTTTTATGGAAAACCACTGCAAATGAAGTAAGTCCGTGTAACCTGTGAACTATGTAGATAAGTAGTCAATATGATGATAGAATAAGCCAGAACGTAATCAGCGTCTGCACTAGCAAACACATCGTCACTAAAATATAAATGATAAATATAAAATAAAAGTTTATCATAGACAGTCTAACCTAGCTACATCTAGACATGTTTGTACATGAGTAAGGTTGTAGAAACGTCAGTCAACATCAACAACAACAGTCCTTCTCAGGACTCTACAAACCTGGATGATCTACATCTACAAACATGTAACAATACTCCCAGTTCAAACAACTCACTTTACATCTATCTAACAGCAAATTGCCGTCCTCAAAACTCGAATGATTAAAGTTCGATGAGAAAATACTTAAAAAAAAACAAAAATCGTCAAAAACTAGTCCTAAATTATTGTTGATGTTAAATGAAGAAAAAATTAACACATGGTTCATAGACAAAAGTCATTTCGTAAGTTTCACTAACCAGCATGCAATGCGAGATGTAAAACAACAGATAACAAGACACAAATCATGTCCTTACTTTGGGTTCGTTTCACAGAACCTACTCGCAAACTTCTCCATGAGTCGATGGATCTTTTGCGCTTCACCGGGAAGCCGGAAGTTATGTAAGAACAATCGCAGAGCTTGCACAAGATTGGTACCAGTGAAATCCAACTGATCTATATAGGCGTACATTATCTCCCGTTCATATCTAAAAAGTATAGGAAGATACGAGGAACAGTTGAGGATATGAAGAACAGTTGAGGACGTGACGAATAATAGATCTAAGTCTACTATTGTTTGCTTATTTTGAACAGTAGCAAATCTTACTGAATTCTGTCAATACTATTCACTGGATAGAGAAATTTTGAGCATTTAAAAAATTGTTTTGTTTTTAATGGACAAAATAACCAAGAGATTTGAAGATAATGCTTAGTTTCAAACAGCTTTTGTCCTTTTACATGGAGTTAATGCAACCTTAAACATGTTTTAAACATTCTTGATTTTACGATTAAATTTTCTGATTTACTATTTCATGTATCATGAGCAAACCATCAATGGGCTTCATGGCAAATTAACATAATCAACTTTTCTTGACTCAATTTATGTTGAAATAAATACTTAAGATGAGAATCAAACGTCTTAACGTGATTTTCACGTGATTGTCACGCGAGGGAGATGTGAAAAAACATACTTACTGTCCTGGATCCCCAATCAGCTCACCAATCATAGTCTAAAACCATAAAACGCAACACTGGGTCAAAAATCCAAAGCAACATTTAATGTTTCTACAAATTCCTCAAAGATAGCGTGCAAATGTGACAAAATGAAAAATTTTAGTGAAAGACAACATCATGTGAAATGAAACATAAGGATTGCAAGGGATATAGATGGACTAAAATGATTATCACCTTGTCTAGTGTATCATAAACATAAGGATTGCAAGGGATATAGATGGACTAAAATGATCATCACCTTGTCTAGTGTATCATCTGTGTGTAAGAACTGAGCGACTTACGTTGCTGTCTCACCAAGGAGACCTTCAGATTGAAGGAACTTTACACCTTTTGATGGATTCTTGTTAAATCTTAAAGTAAATCGTAAAATTGAATGAAAATACAGAAGATAAACAAATTGTTGACCAAACTTACAATTGAATTCCCTTTTCTTTCGTCTCCTTCTTCTGTTTAAGACTCTCCAATTCTTCAACATTATCGATGACTTTTGTACTATTAAGAGACGACTGACTACCCCCCGTATTTTGAGATTGTAAATCACCGGGTCCCCCCCCGTTTTGATTCTCCTTAGTGCATCCTTTTCAAGAAATTGTTGGTGCACCATCAACCAGATCTGTCTGGAAATTTATATAGAAAACATTAAACAGAGGTATTGAGGAATAACTATGATGATTTGGAGATCAATAAGGGATCGCGTGGATCATTAAGAGGTTAGCATAGATCATTAACAGATAGCCTAGATCATTGAAAAGTTTGTAAAGATTATTGAGAGACAGACTGGAACATTGAGGGTAGCATGGGTCAATAATGAGTAACTATAAACATTAAGTTATAGCCTTGATCCACCGCGAGACTAGCAAGGGTAAAGAAGATAACTAAGGGATAACTTAGATCCTGAGAGGTTAACTACAATTGTCGAACAACCAGTTAAGATTAAGAACATTAACGTGTGTATAAGAAAATAATGGAGTACCTTCGATAAATAGGGGATACAGAGTATAGAAAGATGGAATCTTGATGGAGACAAAAATCGTCAGTGTAGCCGATATCAAAACAGGGGTACAATGGATCATAAAGCGATAACGTATCGCAATGTATAACAATATCAAGTTTATATTCGCTACATGCGAGTTTCTTCAGTTTCATAAAGATGTTAAAACTCACCAAAATTATCGTCCATCTGAGAATCAGGTATAAAGTAAAGATCCCTGCTCCATTCTACCATACATTTAAGAATAGAAACGAGACATTCCAGACCTTTGATACGAATACTGCGTTCTTGAACCTGGAAAAATCATGTAAAAATAAGACGACATTGATACTATTCATATAAAAACGTGATAAAAAGATGTATTATAATCAACATTGTCAGCACAAAATATTAGGGACATGTTCTAGTCCTTTTCTTGTTGATAGACTATGTCCCAGTTTTTTCATGTTGATAGACTATGTCCCAGTGCTTTTCATAATAATAGACTAAGTTCCAGTCCTTTTCGAGTGGCATAGATATGAACAAGAGAATGTAGAGAAGTAAACATTATGAAACATATTAATCAACTTACTGATGTCGCTCCTAATTCAATAGATTGACGTCCTTGGGCAACTTTAGACAAATCATTGATCAATCTTTGAAAGATATTCGACAAAGCCATTTCACAGTTGTAATTTAAATATATATCAACGACCGTCTGTGCATCTGCAATAAAGGACACAAATGGACATTAATGGCTAATATGAATGGATATTAATGGATGACAGGAAGATAAAATCAAAATTTAATTGTTGGTATATTGATAATTAGTAAGGGAAAGGTCACACCTCACCTCTTGCACACCCACGAAGAAATTCGAACGAGAGAATTGTGAAGACTGAATATAGGATGGGATTTCGAAATAAAAGATACTTAATTTTTGTATAGGGTTAAGCAAACGGAAGAGATATTTGGTAGAACTGGAGACAATGTTAGTGCAAGCTTTACACAGAAAGTTGACGGTTTGCACCAGCTAGAGAGTTCTCAAAAAAGTCTCAAGGTTTGCATAAGCCAGTACAAACACAAAAAACATCTTTTAGTTCTTTTGTAAATAATAATAATGCGAAACAGACAACTTCAAGAAAAAAGCTTAAAATTTTTCTCTAACATGTATTCATGATTCATTTGCAAATTATCTTTGATTGATATAATTGATGTAGCTCAGATACGCACGTTTGTACAGGCTAATGCAAACACAGTTTAAGTTTTTATTAAGTAAATAGTGATGTCGGATGAATAGCTTTAAAACATTGAGTTTTGATGTCGTTAAACATTCACGGTGTACATTAAAAAAACACAATTGATTTATTAAGCTTTCTGATGATCAGTGAAAGACTCTCAATGAAAACAAAAGGTTTCCAAAGATATAAATGATCATAAAGTTCCGAAATTTTCATAGCGTGACTAAACTTGAGAACTGACTACGCTACTTAACACAATCGCTTTTATAGAAAATTGATCGATGGTATTTCAAATATTAGTTGTTTATATAAATACCTTGGTAGAAGTGTTTAAACTTTGGAGGTACTTGTCTTCTTTGGCATAAGAGAAAACTTCAAGCAAAGTACAAATGATTAAATATGGTTTATTACATTGAAACAAGAAGGAAAAGTTTCTCCCTCAAATAAAAATGCAAATAACAAATTAGAAACAGGAAACATTGAGTTGTCGTACTTCATGTAAGAAAAGTTGTAATATCTTTAACAAATGCTCCTTTCATGAGGTTAAGGCTTTTCTGCACTGGGTTAAATTAATTTCTCATTTGGCATTTTCCGTTTTTTGTTAAGTACTTTCAGTAATATATGCTAGTAATGATTAGTCTTTCAACTAATGTCTTTAACTAAGGTTGTTCTTACACTTCCAAACTCCTAAATTTGCAGGTATTATCGCTCTAGCTACAGAAAAGGAAAAGAGCTATTTTTACTTTACTATGACTTTATTCCAGTCATGTAGTCATACAATATCATGAGATTAT